CTGAGAAATTAAAACTGCATTCAATAATAAATGAATTACCGCAAGCCTCGACTATGAGAAGCGCAAATGTCTGTTTTACATTTCGGGATATATATTTAAAATTTTGCCTCTCGAGAAAAGCGCCCATAGATTTAAGTTCGGGACGCGGGTAAAGATTCGTCGGTCGGGAGAAGCGACATCGGTTGCTAACGACCGTCGCCAGACTGGGGGTTGTTAACTGCCGCTGGGTTCGGTCATCCCGCTGGATGTGGTGGCTCCTTCACGTGGAGGAGGGGGGGGGCGAGGTTCCGCGGGAGTGGGCGAGTGGGCGGAAAAGAGCCACCGCGTTAGAGACTACGGGGAGAGAATGGCTAAGCTATTCGGAACAATGTCTTGTTAGGCGGTTTGCTTTGAGGTAATCGCCGGGAAGACCCCGGCAATCGTTAGACTTTCCCTCGCGGACCTGTTTGTTTCGCGGATAATTGCCCACCGATACTCGACTCCAGTCCCTCGTAAAATCCGTGAACGGTTTCCCCGTCTTCGAGGTTACGATAGGAGGGACAATGACAGACAGACGGCGAGGATAAGCGGAGCGAGGGGAAAAGACGAGAGACACAAGCTAACCGTTCACTTATAGACAATAAAATCTGCGACAGGAAGTTAGAACGATTTTCCTCTCGTGATGTAATTATCTGCCGACGTAGAAGAATCTAATTTCCGAAATATTCGAAGAGAAGTCCGAGCGAATTTTTTAAATAGCCTTTGAAGATCGATATCTGTTATTAATATTAAAATATTAATATCATTCTCAATAAATAATAATTAAAAATACAAAAATAAATCTCGATAAATAATAAAATAAATATTAAAAAATAAGATAAAAACGTACCAGCTGATAATCTCAATTGCACTTTCGCGGAACGTTTTGCGGGAAATACAGGTCTAAAAAACGCATGTTTAAGCGTTGCGATATCGAATGCACAATGTTACATCTCAGTTCTGGGAAACTCGATGGTTTCCGGGAACTTTCATCGAGACGCCATTAAGAAGCGCATAAATATTCGGCGGCCAGACTTCGGTGCTTAAGTGTGGTGAGACAGTTAGCACCGCCGAGACTATTAATACGCATTGGTGGATCGTTAGTTTGTATTCCCGAAGGTAATATTCTTAGTTTGTCTCGCCGGTCTGTATCCACGCGCGTGAGATCTTCCGCAGCAGCCACCGACCGAACAGTTATCTTCGCCCCGGTAAAGCTCCTGCTTCGCGAATAGTACTTGGTAATACGATAAACGAGACTTTGGGGCTTTTCGACTAAGGGAGTTAGCCTTAATGTTCCCTGCGTACGCATGATTATTCGCCCGACACGATAATTCTATTCGGAGGTGCAAACGGACAATAAAACTTTAATTTCTGATTAATCCTGCCATTCTCCTCAATTTTCTGTACACGTTTATCACGTCCGAATGCAAACAAACGTGTAAAAGGTTTAACAGAATTTTAACCAAATGTGTCCTTTTTATATTATGCAAATATTTTTCTTTTTAAATAGAAAATTGATAAAATTATGAAACTTAAAAGCGTCAAATATCAATATAGAAATAATGTGTTTTAAAAACGGAAATAAAACTGTCAAATAAAATTGGACGGAATAGATTCAATTTTGCATCTACTTTTACTTCAATAATTCATTCACGGTTTTTTGTTGATAAATTAAATGAATCTTTAGGGTCGAATCGAATATATATTGTTTGCCAGAAAATCTGTCTCTAATATTTTGCGATAAATCTCGAAGACAATTCATGTTGCGCGGCTGGTATGACGAGAATGTTAGACAATTATAATATGCAATTATAGGCTTATCGAAATTGGCATAATTATAATTTTCTACAAGCGCGCACTCGCGGAAATCCAGCAAACGGAATATTACAAGCAACGGGCTTGTAGCTCGGACTTCATCACTGATTTATGTAACCGTGGTATAACGATGCTATTATATCGGACATAGAAACGCATTGTTGTTACATTGATTATCAGGAAATAGTATGCAACGATTTAATATGTACATCGTTCAATCAGTCTCTCTCGCGCGCGGCAATTATTTCCACATTATTCTACATCGTATATCCCGTTGTATTCTATCTAAGTCTGAATATATACCGACATGTATGCCGTGCGAGCGGACCGATGGATTAACTATAGCACGCCGCGCAGCCATGATCGACATAAACATATATAATAAACACGTTTATTAACCCTTTGATGTATTATCAATTTTCACCTTATATGATAGCTGCGCTACAATACAATTTAGTATAATTATCAAATGTTCGTATTACACAAAGCCTCAATAAGCTGATACCTGTAAAATTATACGCGGGTCAATATTTGTAAAATAGCCTGCTTTTGGCGAACAAAATGTGCTTCGAGGTGGCGTCAAACTTCTCATATTATTTTCACCATCTCCCGAAAAAGTTCAAGACAAGCCTTAAATTGCAAAGTTATCATACAGTCGCGGCGATCGATCTTCGCGATGCGCTCCTGAAATAAAATCTCGTTCGCGATCTGCGTCACGGACCGAGGCGGATGAAATCAGGGCGCGAAAAAACGAGATTCCATAAATAATTTGGCGACGCAGGCGCCGGACGCGACCCGGAAACGGAGGACAGCCGATATATCGGAGGGGGGCGGGAGACAAAGTAAACCCAGATCGTAGACCTGGGCCTGAATAAGGAAGCGCGAGGGAGAAGGACAACGACAGACGGCCATTAATAAAGCGCGAAATCCAACGGTCATGCGCCAATCAGCAACTGTGACAGTAGTCACGACGTAACAAGTATTTCCCATCAGCGCATTCCGCATGCAAGGATCGCTATCCCGAATCGCAAAACGAGCTCTTCTCCGTTGATTAGCGACGATACGCGCGGCTCGTCCTTTTTCCGGTCTCGCGGCCGGGATTAACGGGATCGAGTGTCGATGGACGAAGCCTTGGACCTGGGATCGAGAAAATGCATTCATAAACTATTTCGCTTCGTTTGCGAAATAAAAGTACGCCAAGTACGCTGTTTTAGAAATATTGATTTATAATTTTACACACTAGCTTAGATTTTGTACGAGTAATGTGTGAACATTTGTGTCACATCATACAAAATGAACTATCACTATATTCTTTGGATAGCTTCTCGGTGAAATATTTTTAGCGATTTTTATAGCAAAAATGTCGAAAAAATTCGTTTATTACTTTTATAATAACTGAATTAAAATTGTTTCAAAATCCACTTGACACCACAAGAAGAATGTGATTCTGCCATTTATTTTCTTTTTTCAAGCATAATTTTGCACAAATTCTGTATTTTTTATTGAGCAAAATTTGAAAAATTGAAATTATTTTGATAATTATATCGATAGAAAAATTGATTTCAAATCGATGAAAAATTTAACAACGTAAACTTCTCAACTGAATTGCGTTCCATATTTTTGTAAGATCGTATCTACAGTTGGAACTCTTGTATTATATATCTTACATTCTTTAAATAGTAGAACATTTGATATTCTTCCAATATTTCACGGTATGTAGAATAATGGAACACCGTTATTTAGAGTTAGAATTTGCACGTGTGGCTAAGAGACATGTATATTGACGTGAATAGATTTCAGCACTTATCAACTTATCAATGCGAATAGATGCAAAAATATCGCGACACAATTAGAATATATCACAGACGTATCGATCCGAATCCGTCTCGTAATAAGACACACTCATCTCGCGTCATCATGGCTGCTCGGAAAAAGGTCACAGGCATACCGAAACGAGAATAGCGACAAAATAGCCTTCGCACACACACAATTTTCTATCCGAAAATTCCCTCATAAACTTCGTCATGTTCTCCTCTCTATGCTATCTCCGTATCGCTATTCACCATCCCGTACTCCTACAGCCCCCCCCTCCCACCCCCAACGCCGCCCCAGCGCGTGTGCACACACGTGACAATACCGCGACACACCCTAAATATCGAAGTAGATTTCCCGTGCCTTGATATGATTAATGCTCCACTCCCGGGAGATAAAGAGTGAGCGAAGGAAGGTCGGGGGGAGGGAAAATGGCAGAGGGCGAAGGGCGGCCAAGAAAGCGGGGTAGAAAAAGCAAACAACGCGAGAACAGAAGAGGAGATCGTGATGGAAGATTGACTGCGAAATGAAGGATGTAGAGATATAAAGTAGCTTATATGAAAATAAAATTATAATGGAAAGTAAACTAATTATAAAATAAATCAATCCTCAACGGACACATCTACCTACTCGCAACTTCCTTCGAAACTTTCTCTTTCTCAATTTTATATCCGCGATAGAATCTAATTCAGCGCGTATCTGTAACGTCCTGTAAATCTATCTCCGAGGATAAGAAACAAAGCGGGAAAAAAGTGTCGCGGCGAAATAAAGGAAGAAAGAGCCGGGCGAAAGAGGAAAGAGAAGAAAGATCGTCGGGGGATTGCGGGGGGGGGGGAGAGCAATGAAGGGAAGGGCGCGATGGAGGAAGAAGTGCAAGAGCGCGATGGAGGGGAAGCGTTTGTGGGGCTGCTGGTGGTCGGCCGTCGTATACTGCAAATCCCCGTCAACCGCATTCAATTACGATGTTATCGCGAATACAGATGACGGTTATTTCCTTCGGTACACCCTATATATAACGCGCCGGCCCTACGGCGTAGCTCCCGCGTGCCCGAACCAAAGGCCGTACGGTTTCTGTGTATGCGTACGACGTACTAACGACCAGACCGTGTGATTGTTTCGGGGCGCTCCAAGATACGCGTCCCTGGATGCGCGTTCGATTTTCGCCGATGACGTTAAGCGATTCCCCCGATCCTTCCAGGCACGCGGATGCTCATCTCGAATGGGATCATTAATCGTCCGGCGTAAATCTTTGTTGGAAAAGTCCGACGTCAAATAAAATCGAGACATTTTGTTTCGAAAAAAAAAGTTGTTCAAAGAAAATATTATAAATGCATCCTAATTTCAAATTTACTTACTTTGAAGTCTTGATGCAATCTTCTGAGCACTTGGAGTTCTGCTGGTTGTGGAGAATTTTTAATAATATCCTAATAATGTATATTGTATCGTGCCGACAACATTCTGTATTTGTAGGTTTTACAAAAATAATTCCGGATTTTATTCCATCGAAATTTTGGGTCCAAGACATATCGTTTTTTGATTCTCACGCTATCTCGACACAATGCACATTTCTATTTGAAAAAATACTCTTTCTAGGAGAACACTTTTACAAATTTGCTGCAAAATACTCAATGTTACTCTTCATTATATCTACATTGTGCCCGAAATAATGAATTTTCCTGATACGAGAATGTCGATACGAGAGGAGCATCAGTGGAGATGCCTTAAACGAACAAAAAATAGATGAAGTAGATTAATTGGAGTCCCGCATCTTCTTTCTTTCTCTCCCTTACTCTCTCACTGCCCGCGAAATAAGCGCGCGCCAGAAGGAGGCAGGCAGCGAGAAGAGTGATGGAAAGAGAGAGAGAGAGAGAGAGAGAGAGAGAGAGAGAGAGGAGGG